ACCCGCTGTGGTCCCTTCCAACCTTACTCGTTCTGTGATATCCTCTCTGAATTGATGGAACTCCCAGGACAATTTATTGGACAATTTCTCCACAGCCAAAATGAGGGAGGAAGAAATACTGTCTTCATATTCCCAGAGATGGCAAGCAGCTTCATCCACTGTTAGTGGTGCATTGTCTTTACAGGTTAATGTTGCCAGTGGGTTGGTCTGCACTGTTGATGCACTCTGACTAAATTTCTGCCAAATGGGTTGTAGGCATAGGACTTTGTCTCGATCTGTGGGTAATTATGCATTGTTTGAGTCATAATCAATCATCTCTTGCACAGCTAATTCTTTCAGGTATTGGATACCTTTCTCAATTGCAGTCTATTTGCGTGGGTGGCATGTAATATCTTCCTTGTAGGGATGCCTTTCCATCACACTTAACAGGAGTTGCCTCCAGAGGTTAAGGGCTTGTGTCATTTTTCCCATTGCTCTGTCAGTGCCTGCTTCCTTAGCAAGTGATCCCAGCTGCTTGGCTTCCTCACCCTCTAATTCCAAACTGCTAGCCCTGTTATCCCAACATTGGAGCAGCCAGGTGATAATATGCTCACTTGGATGGCAGCTGAAATCTTTTCATATCTCCTGCAACTCACTGAAGGATAGGGATCAAATGGTGGTTGCCACTTGCTCTCTCTTCCTCCTGTTCCTGGGAACGGCCCTTGTGACAGTCCTGCTACTTTGCCCTCCTTGTCCTCCTTTAAGTAAGCTCTTTTATGAGCTGACTTTTGTGTCCATTTCTTCTTCTGTATAGGGGTGTCATTGTTTAACCCCAGCCAGCAGCCAAGCATCACGCTCACTCAACTCCCCTCTCTTCCCCCCCACCCTGGTGGAATAGGGAGGAGAATCAAAAGTAAAACTTGTAGGTTGAGATAAGAACAGTTTAAGAATTGCAAACAAAGTAAAATGCAATTATAATGGTAAATAATCATAAATTCATCAAGGTTGGAAGAGACCTTTTAGATCATCAAGTCCAACTGTTAACCTGTCACTCTGTGGTAACCCCTAAACCATATCTTCCAGTGCCAGATCCAGATGCCTCTTAAACACTTCCAGGGATGGTGATACCACCACTGCCCTGGGCAACCTGTGCCAATGCCTGACCACCCTGACAGTGAAAATATTTTTTTCTGATATCTAATCTGAATCTCCCCTGTCTCAGTTTATGGCCATAATAGTTATAATAAAAAGAAAAAACCCAACAAGTGATGCACAATGCAATTGCTCACTACCTACTGACTGATGTCAGACCCTCTTCCTGAATCCAGATCAGCTCCCCTTTTGGGTAACCTGCCCAGTTTATATACTGGGCATGACGTGATGTGGAATATCCCTTTGGCCAGTTCAGGTCACCTGTCCTGGCTATGCTCCCTCCCAGTTTCTTTTATGTACCTTCTCACTGGCAGAGCATGAGACAAAAAAAAATGTCCTTGACTTAGGATAAACACAACTTAGCAAAAATCAAAGCTATCAACATTATTCTCATACTGAATCCAAAATGCAGCACTGTACCAGCTACTGAGAAGAAATTAGCTATCCCAGCTGAAACCAGGATAATATCCACCCCTTATTCCATGCCATTTACGTCATGCCAAGTCTCACACTTCCAAATACCCCACCACCTTCCCTATTTATCTGTTTTGATAGACATACATCTAGACATCGTTCTCTTAGTGAAAACCTGTCAAATATTCATAACATGTCCACAAAAATGTTTCTTGAATTCATTTAATCCATGACTTTGGCCTTCATCCTTAGTAACAGTCTTTCAAGCAGGAAAGATGGTGTATGGTGCTGGATTGTTGCATGCTGCACATTTGAGTCAGTTCTGATTCCTGTACTACTGTGCTCATTCAGTTTATCAAAGTTCTTTCTTCATTGGTGCAATGATCAGAGGGAGGTCACATTTGGATTCCCAGAATGCTGGTGATTAAGATGAAGTGCTCAGTGAGGTGATACACATGTAGCCACCATAGAAGTGATAACACACAGTGTTATATAGTTATTAACATCATACAGTTTAATTATTTGGCTATTGTCACCCAAAAACAAATCCCCTTGAGGCACACGCTGGACTTTCCATCCTCACATTACCCACCAAGTGCACCCAGGTCATTGAGTAAAAGCAACCCCATGGATGGGTTTGCCTTTGCCTGAGGTAGGAATAACCCAGGCTATTTTCCCCAGCATGGTTTTAATGTGCACTACAGGAACTTTATCTCCTTCTATGGTGGACATTGTTCTCACCAACAAGGAGAGGGGCTCACAGCACAGCAAACTCACTGCCCTGGACTTCAGGAGAGCAGACTTTGCCCTCTTCAGGGATCTGCTTGGTAGAGTGCTGTGGGATAGAGCCCTGGAGGGAAGAGGGGTACAAGAGAACTGGTTGATATTCAAGATTGTCTCCTCTAGGCTCAAGAGCAATGCATCCCTACAAAGAGGAAATCAGGCAAAAATGCCAGGAGGCCTCCATGGATGAACAAGTTGCTCTTGGACAAACAAACACAAAAAGTCTACAGAGCGTGGAAGCAGGGACAGGTAGCCTGAGAGGAATACAAAGAGATTGTCTAAGCAGCCAGGGATCTGGTTAGGAAAGCTAAAGCACTGGCAGAAGAAAATCTGGCCAAGGACATCAAGGGTAACAAAAAAAGCCTCTGTAGGTGCATCGGCAATAAAAGACAAACTTGGCTGGATGATCATACTCAAAGACTTGTGGTCAACAGTTTGATGTCCAAGTGAAGTTCAGTGATGAGTGGCGTTGGTATTGGGACTGACAATAGCTCTGGGGCCTCTTGGAATGAGTCCAGAGGAAGCCACGAAGATGATCAGAAGGCTGGAGCATCTCTCCTATGAAGACAGGCTGAGAGAGTTGAGGCTATTCACCCTGGAGAAGTGAAGGCTTCAGGGAGACTTTATAGCAGCCTTCCAGTACCTAAAGGGGATGTACAGGAAGACTGGAGAGGGACTTTTTACAAGGGCATGTAGTGATAGGACAAGGGGGAATGGCTTTAAACTGAAAGAGGGTAGATTTAGATTGGATAGTAGGAAGAAATTCTTCACTGTGGTGAGGTACAGGAACAGGTTGCCCAGAGAAGTTGTGGATGCCCCAACCCCGGAAGTGTTCAGGGCCAGTTTGGACAGGGCCCTGAGCAACCTGGTCTAGTGGAAGGGGTCCCTGCCCATGGCAAGGAGGTGGATCTAGATGATTTTTAAGGTCCCTTCCAACCCAAACCATTCTATGGTTCTATATATTAGGCATGACATTTGAGGTACAGGAACAGGTTGCCCAGAGAAGTTGTGGATGCCCCAACCCCGGAAGTGTTCAGGGCCAGTTTGGACAGGGCCCTGAGCAACCTGGTCTAGTGGAAGGGGTCCCTGCCCATGGCAAGGAGGTGGATCTAGATGATTTTTAAGGTCCCTTCCAACCCAAACCATTCTATGGTTCTATATATTAGGCATGACATTCTATTGTATGGAATATCCCTTTGGTCAGTTCAGATCAGCTGGCCATGCTCCCTCTGTGCACCTCCTCACTGGCAGAGCATGAGACACTAAGAAGTCTTTGACTTAGGGTAAGCACCACTTAGCAACAACCAAAACTTCAGTGTGTTATCAACAATTTTCTCATACTGAATTGAAAGCAGCACTGTACCAGCTACTAAGAAAAACTGAACTCTATCCTAGCCAAAACCAGGACACTGTGAAGGGCACAGCACCTGGGCCAGATATTTTTGGGTTGGAGGGTGAAGGAGCAGCTGATGGTGGTGAGTGAGCAGTTTCCTTCATGGAGAATATTGTTCTGGTCTGTACTGGTTGGTTTGAACCATGTTGGGTGGTGGTGTTTGGGGGATGTATATTTTGGTTTGCTAATGATGTGTGGGGGTGTGGAAGGCCTAGGCCAATGTGCTCTATGTAGTGAGGCCATGTAGTGAGGCCCCATGACCTCTGGTGTGTGAGCACAGGCAGGGGCATCCTGGTTCAGCTGTGGTGGTTGTAGGAGAACAATGAGCAGTCCTGTTCATATCCTATGGTTTTTATGTCTTTTTGGTGTTTCTTATGTGGGGTTGGTAGCACTGGGGTGCTGTTCCTTGTCCAAATCTCTGCAGGCATTGGTGGGTCCCCTCCTTGCCTGTTTCAGGTGCATCTTGTTCATGCCACCCTACTTGGCCTCAAGCAGTCCTCTGGCATTGCTGAATGACTATTTGTGTTGGAGTGGTGGTTTGGAGGTGGCTTTCATGTCTTGGCAGTGGGAGAGGATTTGGAAAGGAGAGGGTGGGTGGTGGGAGAGGAGTATGCAGGGCAAGCAGCATGTTGTGCTTGAAGGTCCAGCATCAGTGGGAGCTGCCTGTGGACTTGGAGGACTATGGTGGGTCCCCAAGAGTGGCCTGCTGTTCAGAGCCTTCAACCAAGGCAGGAGTCATCAGTGGGATGGGCTGCAGGAGGGAGACTCATCCCTGCCTGCCTGCAGAGACCCTGTCTTTGCCTGTCAGGTATATGTATGATGATGATCTTCTCTCCCTGTCCCCTTCTCTATGCATCACAGCAATTTTCTCTGGTGCACAGGCTGTGTCACAGCCAGGCCCTGGCCTTGCTGTGGTCATGCCTGTTTCCCTGTTCGCACAGGCTCCTGACTGGCAAAGGTATGAGCAGTGCTGAGTGATCCCAGCCCTGGCTGCTGTTGCTTCCACACAATCGGCTGGAGATGGGCATTTGACATGAGTGTGTTTGCTGGGGGCAAGAGCAGGTTCTCTTCATCTGCCATATGAGTGTATCCACGCATTTGAAGCAGATGTGAGCTTTGAGGCAGACATGGTCCTAGGTGCAGGCGCTGTTGTTATGGGAGCAGATGAAGTCCTGGATGAGCCTGAAGTATTTGTTGATACTGAACAGCAGGTTGTGAGGCCCTTGGCCTTCAAAGAGCATGCCATTGGCTGGCATGCATTGCTCCAGGTGGTGGATGTAATGCTGGAGGTTGTTGAGGAGATCCTGCTGTGGGAGTAGACCCCAAGTCACTGGACGAGTGCCATGATGTGCTTCCTTTGGTTAGCAAGAAACCATGGGAGCAGTAAGTGCAAACAGCACCTGGAAAGTGGACATGGAGAAGAAACTTGGCGACTGTTGCTGAGGACTGTAGATATTATGCAAACAAGGAGATAACAAAGAGGAATTATGGGCAGACAAATATGCAGGAAGATGCGTGATGTAAAAGTACTAGGGAGCTGCATGAAAGCTAGCTGATAGAGAAAATAAAGGTCTTCATGTGTGAACAGCATCAGAGTCCATGCCTCATTGCCACACCTGCCATGCCTGGGCATTCCAGTGTTGGGGAGTGCTGGGGCTGCTGAGGATGACAAAGAGGTGCTGGAGGATGTGGAGGGCACTGGTGACAGCTTGCTGCAGGTGTTTGATGTGGAGGGAGGGTGTCAAAGGCAAATGATACATGCTGGTGGTGGCAGGGCAGTGGTGGGCTGGGAGCCATGGCCTGGAGGAGCTGGAAGCTCTCCCAGGGGAAGCTGGCATTGCAAGGATGCAGGTGGTGGTGAGGGCAGTGGCAAAAGCCAGCAGGAGCACCGGGGGCGCCATAGTGCATGCAGGGCTGTGGGTGCTGAATGGGTGGTGCTGGGCAGGAGCCTGGTCAGGTTTGGTGGTGGGTGAGGGTGGACACTGTGCTTGGAGTGCTGCTGGGTAGCCAGTTTTATATGGTTCCATGACTTTCCCTTCATCCTCATAATCTAGACAGCATTTCCGTTTTCATTTTCAGTTTTGCTTTCTGTTTACTTTCTTCTGAGGGCTTCTGTTGGGGTGCAGGGGGAGCCTGACTCCTGTGTGTTGCATTAAGAGCATGGATTTGACTTTGGCCTGGCAGAGCCCCTCCAAGGACTTTCACTGAAATAGTTTCGTAAAGTTGAATATAGATAGTTTATTGATGCAACAGATATAACAGATTCAGAATTGCTGTTGATAAACGCACTTGCTGTGTTAATGCTAAATATCCTAAGTTAGCCAATGATTAATTAAGCTAAGTTAACAATTCACAGTTCACTAAGCTTAACTTCACATTTAATTAAGCTTACTTTCACCCAAGTGTCATCTGCTAAATAACAGAGGTGCAATTTCTTACCAAAAGAGGCATCCCTGCTAATGGAGAAAGGAGAATGAGTCAGACCTGTAGATCTGCCCAGCAATCAGTGAAGTGTCTCCTCTTAATGAAGTGTTTCTCCTCTCCACTAAGTGTTTGCAAAGGACCAGTTTTATAATCTTGAGGAGGTGAGCCTAAGTCATATTTTATGAATTTCTAACAAGGCTTGTTATGTGTGGATAAGGGGGTGTGAGGACAATATCTGGTAGAGAGGCATGGGTGCTCTTCTGTGAGGCTTCTGTGGTTGTTTTTCTAGCTTCATTGAAACATCAGGCTGTGAGGCTTCTGCTTCACTTCAGACATCATTCAGTTGTTAAGATAAGGATGCCCTTGCCAGGTGCAAGATAAGCAAGTGGCTCAGCTCTTGTTCTTGCTCAACTAGTTTCATAAATTCTCTACCTTTTGACACAGCAAGCCTGGCAGTTTTCCACACTATGCTGTTATGGTTCAGTAGGGCATGAAAGTGTGGATGCAGCAGCTTTTGGAGTAGCTGTGTGTTTCAGGGTTTCCTTTTTGTCTCTTTTGTGAGTTGTCTTGCTTGGTTTTATTTTCAAGTTTGTCAACATCTATTTTTCTTACTTCATGCTCTGTATATTTGTATATATGAGTTAATGCATGGTTTTTTTATTTCTTATTGTCAAATATTTTTAGTTTGTTGATTTCCCCCTCATACCTTTCCCTATAGCATCTGCAGCCTTGCTGGTGGAAGAGTTTTTCCTCTCTGTGCAAATATCTTGAAGAATGTTTTTGGGATCATGTGTCATCCCCTCTTAGTTTGTCCTCAGTGTGTTGTTGCTATTTATAAATAAATGCATAAGTATTGTGAAGGTTTTTTCATCAACTATTCATGTGGTTTCTAGATTTTGGAGGTTTTTTTATTATGTTTTGAATTTGTTGTAGAAATTAGGTAACATTAGGTGTATGGGAGGCAGTGGGAATGTTTGTCATTGATGTGCTGGTCTGTTCATGTCTGGAAAGTGAAAGGCAGAAGAGTCTCAAGTGCAAGTGCAGTAGAGATCTTACAAATGCCTTAGCTGGTGTCCGTGGTACCTAGTGAGCTGCTTGGTGGAGCTTAAATCTATTACATCAGATCACTTATCCTTTTGTCTTGCATTTTGAGTCTCTTACTGATATTTCAGTTTTGGCTTTAGGCACTTCATGCCTTCTGTAGGTCAGGAAATACCCGTGTTGTTTGAAGAGCAGGGAATCTCTTCTGATGTTTTCCTATGGGTGGGCATAAAGTGTAAAGATAACTGGTTTGTACTCGTATTTTCTAATTATTTTTGTTTTGAATGTGTTGTATGCACAGGTGTGTGGGATAGGGATATTTAGCACTGATGTGGTTTTCCTCTCTCATAGTTTAACCCCAGCCAGGCACCAAGCACCACGCAGCTGCTCACCCACTCCCCC